TATCTTTCCCCAGAAAAGAATCTGAAAGAAAGTGAAATACCCTATACAGTCCTTTCTGACAGACATACACAAGAAAATGTTTCCAGACAGGGGAAAGATTTCAAGAACAACAGTGAAGGTAGACAGGTGAGGAAGCAAGAGATGCAGAGGAGATTACATTTTCATTTGTAGATCCATTTTCTGCGGGATGGTTATAGCTGAGAATGATTAGCCTACAGCAAAATTCTAATCCATAATTTGGAGCAATTCACTGAGAGCTTGCATATAGAACACTTTTCTAATACAAGGCAAGCAATGCTTTTCCAATAATGAGGCATGTAAATCAGATTGAATTGCAGACAATTTCTTTCAAATAATAAGCCAGACACCATTTCTGGATGTCACCAAAACATATCTGGGATAAACTTAACAAGTGTTCATATAAAAGTGTGTGTGTCTGTACATGCAAAATATAGCCCTCCTAAACGACCCATTAGCATGCAAGAAAGTGGGTGGTTGACCTATGTCAGACTCCGGTCTTGTTAAGAATTGGGGTGTTAAATACAAGACACAATCTTTACAGCATGGTAGTTGAAAATAGCCAGACCTTTCCCCTATCATTGCATTATTTTATTTATCTGGCAGCATTTCTTAAACTCCATTTTCTTTACTCTGAATGAAATTCCATTTCCTGTGAAGTTTGCCTTTCAAGTACTACTTCTTACTGCCCTCCTAAAGAACCTCCACCCCTGCTAAGGCTAACCTATATCAAACATGCATAAAGTTTTAGCACAATTTGTTCCCAACACACTTGTCTCCAAATTATTTTGGGAGAAGATACTTGGGAACATGCAAATTCTAAGGTGAAAAGGCAAAGAAAAGTTGTACTTCTGCACATCTCATCAGTCTATGACCAGAGATAACTGGTTTCTTATGCCATGCTGTTCCCACAGCATGTCAAAACATATCTGATTAATGTGTCCAACATCTTTGCAGAAGAGCACTTGCCACTCAGTAACAGTATTGGAAACAAAAATGGAAGCATGATTTTTTTCCATGAACAGCACCTGTGCTAAATGTTGTCCTAATTTATGAACTGAGAAGTTTCTTTGTGGAATACCTTGCCAAAGTCATTCACCAACATGTCAAAATTGATACAGCATTTAGTTAAGTGCTATCTTTTATTTCTGTAGTTTCCACACCCTTACTCTTCCGCTAGGATATTTTTCCATATTGAACCAATTTGCAAGTTTCAGCAGTAGCACAACTTTTTCCAGTTGCACTGCGCAATCTGCCCCCCACCTCAGAAGCTGCATGGTCAGCCTTGACCAACTCTTTAAAAGCACTTACAGGTTCACAACATCACTGGTCGCTCTCACACGATTCATTACTTTGCTTTTAACCTTGGTAACAAAAGCCAAGCTTTAATTCCTCATGACTTAAGACAAAGCAGACATTAAAAACTCTAAGTTAGTGTGTCACTGAACTGCTGCCCTATCTGGGAATCAGGAGCTCAGAAACTGCTTTCCACAGCTATAATCGAGCTTCTGAATAGGAATTAATTTATCCTACATTTATTAGCTATGCAGCTGCATATTTAGCAAGATAATGATATCCTGGTAAAATGAAACCACAGTAACACATTCAACACCTGTATTTGTCTTGAGACAGTAAACAAGATTGCTAATTTTTTGACTTGAGATTGTCTTGATTAAATAAAATGCAAATTAGGCAGAATCTACAATAGTGTTCATAACTCCTTTTTAATTAAAGCCTTTAATTTTTAAGTTTGAATGGCCACAATTTGGTTTATTGTTTAGCACCATAAATAGGGAGACGGAATACCTGATTTGTTTTTCTAATACCCGCTTTGCTTTTCAGCTCTAGAGAAATTTTAGACACACTGTGGTATCTTTCTTACCTTCCTCGCTGAAAGCTCTTCCACCTGCTGTATCACATAGTGAATTATCTCGGCATATACTGATTATAAGTGACACTGGTCTGGATGTATCAGATCAAAAGCTCTGTTGTTATGCTCAAAGGACACCAGGTGGTGGAGGAAGACTCCTCAGTAGCACATTTGCATTCCTTTCATTGTGACACTCACGTTGTCTTTCTCTTCAAGGCTACCTTCTCTTCTTCAAAATCTGCACTGCTAATAGCTTTGAGGCCTAAAAATAGCAATACTAAGTCTTCCAGAAGCCTAGCTAGCACGATACTCTGTTTCTGAGAGTACCCTAAAGTGGACACCAGCAAGAAGGGCAAGAGCAAGTCAAGGATACACAACCTTTTTTCTCCTGAGCAGCCTCCCAGATGTGAGCCAGCAGTTAACGGCGCTGCACTCCATGTCATCTGGCTCATTCCACCCCACTCCATTTCCCAAACTGGCCCTCAGGGGCCTTTAATAAGCTTTACCAGGCTACCATTGTATGAAAACAGTCTCTCTCACTCTCCCAGCTTAAAACTGTTATTAACATTTAAACTTGACCCACTCTTTAGGAACATTCACTTAGAAGTCCCCATATTCAGAAATGACAAAAAAGTATTTAGCACTTTAAGGAAACAAGAGTGTTGCTGTTCCTAAGGCTTCACAACACAAGCTATTTACTTTTACCATCTTTTGCTAGCTTTTATGCTAAACCCATCATTTCCACACTTCCTGTCCTGTTCAGACAGTCAAACAGTTTAGAAAAAAAGGCTATTCCCACTTCTAACACTGACATTCCTACACAACATACCAAAGACTGCAAAGCTTCTGGGTAGTAGTGATTGAAGAATTTAATTGTAAAGGCATAAGGACAGAATCATCACAGAATGGTTTGGGTTGGAAGGGACCTTAAAGATCATTGAATTCCAACCCCCCTGCCAGGGGCAGGGACACTTCCCACTAGACCAGGTTGCTCAAAGCCCCACCTCCAGGGATGGGGCATCCACAACTTCTCTGGGCAACCTGTTCCAGTGCCTCACCACCCTCACAGGAAAGAATTTCTTCCTGATATCTAATATAAATCTCCCCTAGTTTAGTTTAAAACTGTTCCCCCTCATCCTATTGCTACACTCCCTAATAAAGAGTCCCTCCCCATCTCTCCTTGTAGGGCTCTTTAGATATTGGAAGGCTGCTATAAGGTGTCCCCAGAGCTTTCTCTTCTCCAGGCTGAACAACCCCAACTCTCTCAGCCCATCCTCATAGAAGAGGTGCTCCAGCCCTCTCATCATCCTCCTGGCCCTCCGCTGGACTCATTCCAGGGATTCAGAGGGCAAGCTACATGAGATTTCTTAGATAACTGAGAACAACCCATAATTCACTAGCAGTCATAGGAAATTCTACTATCCACGCAGCTTTGAGAGCAAGGAATGAAGTCAGCTGTACGTGAACTGACTTTTTCCAACCTTCAAAGCAAACAAACAAATCCTATCAGATAATTTTATTATTTCAGGCAGTGAAGGTTTGATACATATATGAATGAAATACTTGGGCAAATTGCAATTATCAGCAGCTGACTTTTTTCCTTCTGTAAAAACTTAATTTCTGCTTAGACACTAGATTCAATTTTCTTATGTGTTATGAATATTGTTTTCCAAATACCCTATATTTTCACTTTGATCACCACACATCTCTGCAGGAGCAGAGGACCTTGTCATGGTCTGTTACAACTACTTGACACAGCAGTGTCATCAGTATTTGTGCTGAAGTTCAGTTTCATTTTACACCTCGGGAGCAATACACATTCCCTGGAATACTAACTGGGAGAGGAGGCAAACACACTGCTGCTGTTTGCAACTCTGCTGACAAGGGCCAGCAGGCCATTAAATGCTGTTCTTAGGAGAGTGTCTGGTAAAAACCACAGATTTCTGTATTAAAACTGTAGGTCATGAGTTCAGCTCAAACTCCGGAAGAGAATTTAAACTAAGGCACTTGCTAGTAGCTCAAATAGTTTTTAACAGTTCATATGTTTTCTACACTCTATTTCTGCTGCGTTTCTTTGAACACTACGTATCTACAGTTGCCAACTATTATAAACTCTAAAGCCTTCTTGTTACAACGAGCTTCAAGCTGAAAACAAAATTAAAATCTCATCCAATAAAGCCCTGATAATAGTAGGCCCACTGTTTTTATGACCAAAATGAAAAAGCTTTATTCATATCCCAAAGCAGCTGGAGACAAAACAGAGTAAGCACCATTGTGCTAGGCTCTGCTCTAACAGAACACAAGAGAAGTCTCTGGACTAAAAAGCTGACAAATCTAATTCATTTCAGGTATTGTTTCTAGAAGTCTGGGGCACAGTGTCCCACACACTGGAGGAACTAGAGATAGTGCAGAGGAAAACACAAGAAGGGAGAAGTCAAGTGAATCCACTGTTACAGCATAAACAGCAAGTAGAATTCCACCCGGGAAACAATTTTCAGGGAAAATACTTCTGTGAACACTGACTTAAAGCAACTGTAAGATTCAAAACTGATAGTTTTTAGTGAAATATTGTGCTGAAGCTCTTTAAAAGCAAATAGGATCCAGAAATTCATCCTACATTAATAATATTGTGAAAAATTGTAATTGATTATAATGTGCTGAAGACTTTTTCTACTGTGTGACTCTAGAGTATTGTAAGTATAGCTTTCCTCACAGGGTGATCAATCAACCATTTACTTTCCTTCCCTGGAAAAATATCTGAATAGATAGATTTTAGACCAAGACTGAAAAATGAACCATTTAACAGATATCTGGAAAAAAATAATTACTATGTTAGTGAAGCCTCGTAGGCTGAGTTTAATTCTAATAATTAAGAGGATGAAAATGCTGAAAGGGATGCTTGCCCCTTCCCTCTGCAGCGTGAAAAAAGTAACCATCAAATTGAAGTTCATTTAGAAAGTGCTAAAGATGAATAATGGGGGTGAGAGAAAAAGCACAAGGACATGAAAGCAAGCATGATTACCATGGTTACCATGAAAACACACAAGCATGTTCTTATATACTGACTACCATATATCAGTAATAAACTACCTGAAAAGCAATAATGACTAACCTCCACATTTTAGTGAAACTGTGCATCAGGCTCACACAGCAAGGCAGAGCTGGAGGTTTGAGTCCATCCATTTGAAGGAGGAGGGCAGGAACACCATACAGAACCAGGTACTTCACATAAAAAAATAGTACTTGAGCTAAAGCCAGGCCACCTAAAAGAAAAAACACATAGAACTTAAACAAGTCCTGAAATACTTTTAAAATCTGTTAATACTGATTACTTCTAAAGAGCCATTATTCAAAGAACTAAAACAAGTATCATCATTTGCTGGGATATACAATACCTACTTTTGAAACAGCTCTAGGACACAAGCACATGCAATTATGACTGTAGCTGCACACCCATGAAAAACAGTACCATCATTGCAAGATGAAGGCATCTGTAGTTCTACTTTCAAAAAAATCTTTGAACTGTGGGTATTGACTGCTGTGAAAAACAAATACTGACTTATGTTGAGCTAAAAATCAGAACATACTGATATAATCAATAAACATTCCCCACAGAGACAAGTTTTACCCTAGCAAAAAACCCCAACAACCACTCTTCCCTTGTGCCTCCAGAACTGGTACAAACAACGGTTATCTTTGCAGCTTATCCTGACAGCTCCACAAACATCACATCTACTGTCAGGTTATTTGTGTCCCCTAAAGCACTCCCTACAAGATCCCTCCTGCTGCAGCCCAGGTGTAGAAGACTGGAACGCCACTTGGCAAAATGTTTCGGGAATATTTCAGTTTTTAAACCCACAGGACAAAGTTTGCCTTAAGGCACTTCAGCTGCCAGATTTCCAAAGGATAAATTTTGCCAGTGCATGTGCTCACAGCTTAATGGCACAACATGAAGCATCTTGCACAGATGTGAGATAAAAAATCATACCAGCTATTCTCAGAGTTATTACTCATGCAAGTAACAACCTCAGAACACATTAGAAATAAAGCAAGATGATTCATATTAATATCCTAAATGTTTTCTACCAAATAAAAATGCTATGTGATCAATAATCATAAGAAAAAATATCAGTAAAAAGCAGAGGCCAACACCTTTATAGAAACTGGTGAGAGTTCACTCCTTAAAGATCCATTCACTTTGGTGAACTTTTCTGACTAACAGCTGACGTAAGTAAAAACTAATCCCAAAGGAAGGAAAGTAAAATTATAATTGTGAAGAGTAAAAATTATAAAATACAATTGTTATCTCCTTCCTTTCCAGTGTTTTGATTTCCCTCTCTCATATTAACTTGTTATTTGACTGGAGTACTTTAGATATTTAGTGTAATTTTAAAACCTTCCAGCAGATTTTCCTTGGAGACAAGTTTTCAATTTGACTCCAGCAGTACAAGGCCACGAACATCTAAATCTGTTGTGGGGATTTTTGGCAAACATCCTTTTTGCATTCTGCTGACTAATGAGTATACTATGGATGACAGTGAAAAGTTAAACATTAAAAATTCATCCAATATATTATAACCTAGGGTGAAATCCTGGCAATAATAATGCAAGTAGCAAAACTCCTTTTCACTTTTAATATCATGGTCCACATGCATGATATAAGAAACAGTTGTGCCATACAAAATAGAAATTGATGTTAGAACAAAATACCTAGACAAGAAGCTTATGGCATTTTCCTTCAGGGAAGCAGTGATCTAGTATTCAGTAACATTCTTCCCCAGAGGAAAACAAACAATCAGAAGCACAATTTGGATACTAGCCAATTAGCTACACATTAGATTACTGCTAAATCATCTATACAGACAACTTTCTGCTTTAATTCCCATCTCATTCAATTTCTTGTTTCTTTTCTGACAAATTTCATTGGAGAGCTGAATGCTGACACCCACACAAACCAATTACAAAGACCACAGCTGTCTGTGCACTGGTAGAAGTCAAAATCCTTTGGCTGTGCATGATGAAAAGAGACTGAGAGACACAGACTACCACTCTCTTGAGACCTGAGAATCAATACATTTCATTTTAAATGCAACAATGAAAGAGTCTGAGTTCTCAAATACAAAGTTATCATAAGTTTCATTTAAAAGAACCCCGCATTTTCACCATATCTAACAACAGACATCTAAGTTTTAATTACTGTTAATTAGCAGAGAGCTCAATAGCACTGGTATCTTAAATAAATGTAGATGTCACATAACCAGTCATTACCTGGCAGGCACTAGCTACTCTGCATGTGGCAATTCTAAGCCTCACAACACCAGCAATGTGAAGGTCCCTATAAAATTATGCAGATAAAGTCCTCATTGGTCTTCAGCTCACCCCAGCTGTGTGAGAGTTCTGGCCACCCACGGAAGACCAAGGCAAGACTCACAGCCACACAACAGCTGGGCTGCACTGGCAACAGGTACAGGCTTTACACCTTCTTGCATTCCAGCTGCTTTGCATTTGCTCCATTGAAGCACAAAGCAGCCGGAACGACACTGCTTTACCTGATTTAAAAACATGAAATAATAAAAATAAATTTAAGAGCAATGCTAAATTTCTCAACTTCATTAACAATATCACATAATTCGTTCTCCAGCGTTCAATTTTAAGCTTAAAAAGAACTTGCACATGAGCATTATCTTAAATTGGAAACAAGCTATACCAAGTGTATATTAAAAACACACTGAAGAGAAAAAGTAATGCAAAATTGTTATCTTTTCCCCAGAATAAATTAATTCAAAGGGTTCAGAGTCAAGGTTAATGTTTGTTAAAACTGAAATGTGTTAAGGGATTAAAAAAAAAAAATCAAGTTAAAGTAGCTATACAATCTTAAACACATGCACTTCAACAGTAAGCCTTTTGAAGTCCAAGATTAAATTGACTGTTATACAAATTGATATTTTCAATTTATCGTCTTGCAATCCTTAAAACATCCTATGCTTTAAGAATATATCCACAGACCATCAAACATTTACGTTCCTTAAATTTACCGCAATTTCTAAGTTTCATAGATCTTTGTTGTTTCAAGGATAATCAGAATTTAGAATGCTCGAATAATTTTTTTACTTTTTGTATTCTCAAAACTCTGCCTGATATTTTTTGACAGAAGTTATCAAGCAGAACACTTTCATAAGTAAGACACAATAGATTTGGATCAAGGCATTAGAAACAACATTTGGCAATTTTCTGTCCATAAGCCATCGCCAAAAGTCATGGTCAAGAACTGTAACTTAGCAGGCAATTTTATTACAAGCACAAATTTTTCTTTTTTGTAGCTATACTGACCCTATGGCATTAATAATTGCAGATGCCCCTTTGTGTACGACACGTTCAACTAGAAAACACGTATCATAGATAAATATGCAGTAATATTTCAAGAAGGTTACTGACACAAGTCTAATAGGAAACAGACATTTAAAACAGCTCAGAACGTGGAACCATATCATCAAGTTTAAAATATCAGGCTTTAAGCAGTTCATTTACCCTTTCTGTTACTTTTTACATGCCTTTTCTCCTACAGGAAAAAAAAATATTATGCAGGGATTCCCTCAAATGAAAGCCACCATGAAAGCATGTGGCTCTGCACAGATAGACTACAGATGTATCTCAACAATAATGCCAACAATCATAAGATGCTTCAAGAGTTTCCAGCTCCATTAATCAATCAGTAACAGCACAATTTTCGACAAGCTTTACATGCTGGGCTACAGCATTTTCTTCACAGCAGGACACTCCTCCCTGACAAGAGCCCCAAAATCAGATCTACTGTGACCTTCTTAATTTGGTACTGACCACAGCAGGAGGCTACACCTCATGGTGGGGGAAGCTTTCATGTGAATGTACGACTACCATGGCACCAACTCAACTGGTCACAAGCTGCCAGGTAAGCCGAGCTCTGCAGCCATTGCCAGAAGTCCCACATGCCTCACGCCATACTGACCTGTCCCCAGTGAGGACCAACCACCCACTCCCACCTGTTACACTGACCTGAACTAATGCGAGTGATAACTCAATTCTCTTATTCCTGTCTCCAGCCACTGAAACAGAGCATCATGCAAGAAACATAAAGCATCCCAATTTCATTCCTTGAGCGGCAAACAATGCAATTAATAATTAGGCTCATATTGCTCAGGAGTGTTTTTCACTGCTGCTTGGCAGTGCTTTAAAAGAGGTGCTGGCTCACAAAATCAAAAGGAATGATGAAAGAAAAAAGTACTACAGAGACTCATGCAGCCTGGCTTAATATCCCAGCCTTCCAGGAGCACACAAGAAGCAAAAAAATCCTAAAACATATGGAGCAGTGGCAGGAAAGCACATACCACAATGCTTGCCCTGGAGGCTAAGTGCTTCTTTTAAGACAAAGGTGAATGGACATAAAGATCTCAAAGTGAAGAGCTGCCAATTGACTCTAGGTCAAGGCATAGATGTGTCTTCCAGGTTAGAGAAAACCCTACTGGTTTTTTCAAGGATACACATGCCTCAAAGCCACCTACCTTGAACACTCCCAAAACATCTACAGTAGGCATTATGTGTATTAGTAAATACTTGCAGGAATGAGCTCTCTAAGTAAATCAACATTTATCACATCGTGCTGGCTTTGACTGGGACAAAGTTAATTTCATTAGTAAATACCTGCAGGAATGAGCTAAGGAAATCAACATTTATCACATTGTGCTGGCTTTGACTGGGACAAAGTTAATTTCTCCATAAGTAGCAAGTGTGGGGCTATGTTTGGATTTGTGCTGAAAACAGCGTTGATAATAACAGGGGTGTTTTATTAATTGCTGAGCAGTGCTCACACAGGTTCAAGGCCATTTCTGCTCTTCCCACCGCCCACCAGCAGGCGGGCTGGGGGGCACAAGGAGCTGGGAGGGGACACAGCCAGGACAGCTGACCCCAACTGGGGTCGGGGGAGAGGAGGGTGGACCGAGCAAGCAGCTGCACAGCACAGTTGCTAGCTGGGGTTATACCACAACACACATAAGTTTAAAAAGTAATCAGGAAAGTAGGTTAATTGCCAATACCACCTGGAAGTTTAGCCTGCAGGAAAGCTTATAAAAAAATTTCTTTCTATAAAGCAGTGAACCACCCAGTGTTTTGGAGAATAAAATCTTCCTAAGCTTTCTGATTCATGTTTGTACTCCCAGTTTTCAAAACAGACATCAAGATGCCAAATATTTAGTCAGATTCTCCTTATCGTTATCTTGCAGGATGGAAA